CGGGGCCCGGGGCGGGGCCGCGCCGCAGGGCGGAGATCAGGCCCGGTTGACAGCGCCGGGCCGGGGGCCTGCCGGATCCAGGCAGCGCTGGGAGGGGGTCGGGAGCCGGGAGCCTGTCCCTGACTGCGGGGCTCGAGGGCTGGTCCCGCTTTTGGGACGCTTATTTCCCCCTCCAAAAAAATAAACATAAAAGCAGGGCCCTCGCCCCGCCAGTGCCCTGGGAAAGTGCTGCGGGGAGATGCAGGCCTCGGTGTCTGCCTGGCAGCCGGCTCCCTGGCTCGGGCACTGCTGCATCCTGGCTCACAGCAAGCCACCTCCGTCCTCCCAGTGGCATTTCTGCATCCGACCCTCGTTTTGCCCCCTGCCCTCCCGCCCTGCCTGGCATCAGGGTGCCGCGAGAAAGTAGGTTCTCCAGTTACCAAATATTGAAAAAAAAAAAGGTTTTGGCAGCAGGGAGTGGCAGGGTGCAGGCCGCCCCACCTGGGCCGCAGGCCACATGGTGCCTTGCCCGTGACCGGCTGCTTTCCCTGACTCACTGACCAGGTGTCCTGAGGTGTGGGGGGGTTGTTTTCACCCCTAACGTGGTCACTAGCAGGGAGTGAGCGGAAGGGCCCGAGGGATTGTGCACACTGCTACACAAATGCTGAGGCAGTGAAAGGAGGTGCTTGCTTGATGAGGGACCTCCTTAAATCCGTGTAGCAGGGTCTGCCGGGCAGAAGTTACAGCACCCTGTGATGGGAGCCTCGCTGCACAACAAATCCCTGTAAGCTCCTTGGTCATTAGCAGGAAGTCCTCTTCCAAAACTGTTTATGGACAGGCCTGGTAAAGAACCTGGTAAACATCATGTGGAATTGCCTTTCAGGGGCTTATGGAAAGCCTTTTAGCAGGCCCCGAGTTGCTGGATGCTAGCCAAGCCTGAGTTAAACAGGAGCAGCACCGGTATTTAGATGTGAAGCTCTTGAGGCAAACCCGGACGCTGCAGGAAATGATGCCAGTAACTCAGAAGGTGGCAGTCTCCCTTCGCTCCTGGGAAGGAGCCAGTGGATCAGTGGGACAGCGGTTCTCAGCCTTTTAGTACTGTGACACGTGACACTGGGAAATGTTTTGGGTTTCTCCCTATGTGTCCAGAGATTTCAGGAACATCTCCATGTACCCACAAAAGCAGGCATGTGTTACAGTCTCAGTGTTGCAGGGGACACTGTGCTGTTGGAGATGCTGTTTTTCAGAGAGACATAAAACAGAAGTCTTCGTTTTCTGATTGCTCAAGATCCCAAGGCTCATTTTTTGTGAAACCCTAATATCCTGGCTCTGGTCATCTTTTTGGGTAGCTGGATTATATCTCTGTAAATGCTACCTGCAATTTCTGTTGGATATGATTTTTTTTTCACCTGTTCTAAAGCAGCTCGTGTTGCTGTCTGCTTCATCCCATCTCTGAGGTAGCTGCATGTGTGTGTATCAGTGTCACATGTTCTCTCAGTTTAATTGACCAATAATGATTGGCACTTCTAGCCACTTTTATGAATCCAAAACTGATATAAGATGACTGTGCTATCTATTCAGTTATAAATCAAGCATATTTATTTATATATCTCAATTTTATTCTGTTATTCTTCTACTGTTCATGTATTTCTTTCTTCCTTTACTATATTTCTGTTGAAAAGGTTTCATACAGATCTGTTTTCGTGTCTTTGAAATCCTTGAGTTTAGTTTAGCTTTCTTCACTATGGAAAGTTGCTTTTATGAATGTTATAAAACTGGTTTTGGTAACGATGCTTCCTCCCTATATGCATCCTGCCTGTATTAGAAGTACTTCTAGTCATCTTTTAAAGGAATTGGAAAATTACTGACACTTCTAATAACCAAGGGGTAGACACACAAAGGAACATCATGTAAAATACAGAACCAGTCCTTAGAGCAGGGACCAGAATGAGGGCCTTCTCCTGGCCCAGCAGTGGTCACACCAACACGCTACAGTCCTTCTGACTCTGGTTCAGTGAATCTTTAACTTTTTTCTAGAGAGTGGAACAGTTTTAAAAGGAGGGCTTGAGTGCAGCCTTTCATCAGAGTGTCCTGTAGCCTGGTAGTTAGGAAATGACAAGTATAAATCCCTCCGGGAATGGAGAGAATTTAACCTTGGTTTCCCACACCCTGGGAGAGGGTGTCCCACAACCACTAGGCTGAATCAAGCTCGCTGCTTCCTGTTTCTTACAGCCCTGATCTCAGCGGCTGATACTGTATTTCCCTTGGCACTGTATAGCACGTAGTAAGGAACAGTCCTTGCCTTAAACAGTTTGTAGCTTAACTAGACCAGGCAGACGAAGAGTGCCTGCTTCCCCTGCTGTGAAGGGCAGAGTGAATTGACCAGGGCAGTGGAAGAGTTTGGGCTACAATCCAGTGTTTCTGAATCCTAGGCTAGGGTCCTTGTTATGGCAGTGCAAATCGTGCAATTGGATGGGGCCTTGAGCTGATTGGAGCATTATGGTTATGGTGAAGAGTAGAGACTGGCCTGAAACTACAAGGCCACCCAAGTTAAGTGCCACAGCCATGCACCAGGCTGCTTCTCCTGTGATGCTTCTGCAGTTCACCACATCCGTCACAACTCCGACATCTCTGGACTAAGTCCACAGCCAAGGTTCTGCTTTCCCCTGGATGGCAGCCCGTGAATACTCCTGTTCAGTAAGGGCCAGGGAACTAACTTTCACAGCCCAGGCTTGATGTGGTATTTTTTTCTCTTTCAGATTGTGCTAGAGAGCCCAAGACAGCTTTTATCATTCTAGCATGGCAAATGAAGAAGATGACCCAATTATACAAGAGGTAGATATACACTGGACAACTGTGTACCTTTCCTCATATTTAGGTTTCTTAGCTTTTGGCTCTCCTGAAAGAATATCACTGAGCTGAGTTGCTGTCTGATGGTCAGTAAACAACAGCATACAAAAGAAATGGATGGTGTGAAACCAGGATTTGGTGCACAGCCTGCATCTTCTCTGATCAGTGGCAAGTCACGCTCCGAGCCAGCATCCAGAAACTAGGCCATTGTCACTGTGTCCATTTGGTGGATAAGTTGAAGCCCCAGGTTTGTCAGTCGGACATCATTCATGTACACTAAAGTTCCCTTAGGAAAGTTAGAAGAGCTTTAAATAGAAAGAACGATTTTTTTTTTCTTTTTTTTTTCTTTTTTTTTTTGGATTAGAAAGGGTATAAACACAACATGGCTGGTGCATGTGTTTACTGCTCCTGATAAAAGAAACAGTTGCCTGTTTCCAGTCTGAAATGAAGACTGGACAGTTTTGCTTTGAAGAGGATTGTCAGGTGTCAAATAATTGCTACAATATACTACTGATTCCTGATACAAATCCCCACACACACCGATTGTTGGGTGTTGGAAGGAGAAGCATTGTAAGACCTTTTTGCTTGGGCAGGCCTTCAGCTGGCAGGGTTAAGTTTTGGAGCATTGGCTAGGGAGTTTGTTAAATTATACATGGTTTAATTTTAATATTTTATCTGTCTTTACAGTAAAAGCCAGGTACTGTATTTACTTGAATCCAAGATAAGGTTTTCTCCCTCATTCAGTATGTTGTCTCAGATTTCAGGTACATACAGGAGAGGCAGGTGGCTGCTGTGGCTCTAACTCTGGCCCCAGTCTGGGCCTGGGGTTGGAGTGAGAGCATCTTCCCTGACCCCCTCGTAGCTTCTGCTCCCCCTGTCGTCACCTCTGTCCCTGCCCCTCAGGCTGGAGCTGAAGTATTAGGCTCACACCAACCCCACTGAGAGCTAGTTCCTTTCTCTTTGATCAGATGCATTTCCCACCTTGCTTTGGGAGAATCTGAATTTCAGCCAAATATACTAGCTTCTGTGTCATGTCCTGGCAGAAGTAGACACCCCTTTGATTCTTAAATGAACATTCTCAAAGAGCAGGTTTGCACGAGGCTCACAGACCCGCCCAGAGTTTGTAGCTAATTTCTCCCCAGGCTAGCGATTTTTCAGTGGTACTCAAGATACAGCTTCCTATCCAGTGAAACTTGTTTCTTTTGTTTTGTCAGATTGATGTGTATCTGGCCAGAAGCCTGCTGGAGAAGCTCTATCTATTTCAGGTAGTCACATCTTTATTTTCTTTTAATCTTTTTTTTTTTTTTTTTTTTTTTAAGTATTGTTTTACCAAGCGGTAACTCCTAACATTACTATGGATCCCAGTCTTACAATTTATGGGTGATGTTGGACACCATCACTTGTTAAGTGCTGGACACTTAATTAAGCAAATGAGGGTGTTACTCCTCTCTAAATCCAGCCCAGGGAAAGGATTTTGAAGGTGGCAGGCGATTTTAAACAGGGTACTCACTTGCAGCCCGGTGCTACCCCTCCGAAAAAATAAATGAGCAGACTCTTCAGTTAAACTGGAAACCACAGGACTGCATTAATGATAACAGACAGCAACAATATTTACAATAATTGCAAGATTATTCACAATGATAAACAGGGATCTGGGTTTTCAATTTCCCAAGGAAAAAAGGAGAAAACCAAGGGTTCCCTGTTTTTATTGGAGAAAACACGGATTTCTCTTTTTAGCAGAAAAATCCGCAGATTCTCCACTTTTGCAAAGCACTCTTGCAGGCTAGCATAGCTCCAGCCTACAAGAACCGATTGCAAAAAAGGCGGGAAACCCCCAGCCCTGGCTGGAGTGGGGAGGGCAGGGGGCCTGAGCCTGAGCCTCCTAGGCAGCCAAGGCCAGGCTCAGGCTCACACTCGCCCTTTACTCCTGGAGCATGGAGGTAAGTGGGGCGTCGGACAGGGTTTAGGAAGATATGGTTGGGGGCTGAGGGAGCAGGGGGTGCTGCTGGCCCCCTGGTGGCACATTGCAGCTGGGAGCAGGGCCAGGGGGTGAGGGCAGGGGTGCCCCTCTGCGGGGGGCTTTGCAGGCAAGTGATGTGGAGCACAGGGTGGTGGTGCCCACCATGTGCGGGCCGCACACGTGCCGCCTGGCCACCTGCCCGGGGGAGAGGGAGGCTGGCATGCGGCCGGAGCACAGCTCCGTGGCCGGCTCTGCAGCCACGGCAAGGGATGGGGGCACGGGGCGGGGAGGAGGCGGGGGCTTGGGCTTGCATGCGGCGCTGCCACTTACCTGGAGGGCCGTGATGGCAGTGACAGCTGCTGCCTACAAAACCTGCTGGCATGGAGCTGTTCCCAGAGCTGTGCGGCCGGTGGCAGCGGTGCAGTGTGGGGTCACCACTCTGCTGCTGCCGCCCAGCGGCCGGCTGCACGGCTCTGAGCCTGGCTCTGGAGCAGCAGCATGAGGGTTTGGAGGCAGTGGCCTTCCCCCTCCCCTGGGCAGGCGGCCAGGCAGCATGTGTGCGGCCCAAACATGGCAGGCACCACCACACTGCACCCTGCATCTCTTGCCCGCAAAGCCCCCCACAGAGGGGTACCCCTGTCCTCACCAGCTGTGATGTGCCACCTGGGGCCGGCAGCACCCATCACTCCCTCAGCCCCCAACCATCTTCCCCAGCCCTGCCCCACAGCCCCCAAGCCCCACTTACCTCTAGGATCCAGGGGCAAAGGGTATGGCTCCACAGTGGCAGTGCTTGCCCGTAAAGCCTATCCCCCCCACCCTGCATGCAGCTGCCACCACCCTGCATCTCCACAGAGCCATGCAGCCAGTTGCGGGGCATGCTGCTATATGCAAGCCCCCCATTTCACCCCCCGGCCAGGCGGCCCGTATGTGGCCCACACACAGTGGTTGCCACCACACTGCCGCTGTCATGCCCTGCACCTCTTGCCCATAAAGCTGCGCAGGTGGCCTTGAGATGGTAGCACAGGGTGCAGTGGCAGAGTTGGGGTGACGGCCTCCATGTGCGAACCTCCTGTCAAGCTGGCCGACGTGTGTGGCCCACAGAGTGGCACCCCTGCCCTCACCCCCTGGCCCTGCTTCTGTGAGTGGGCACGGGGACACATTCCCCTTCTTGATCTACCCCCCAGCACCTTCCCTTTCCCCCGCCCTGCCCTGCCTCTTCCCCCTACACACACTTACCTGCTGGGGTGGGTGTCAGAGTCTGTGTCTGTGGGTCTGGGGGGTTGTTGCAAGGGGCATCAGGAGGGCTGTTGAGACTGTTGAGGGGAGTGTGGGGCACCAGCAGCGCTAGGAGGAGCTGTGGAGGGGGCCTTTAATTTTTATCACAGATTTTGGATTTCTAATCAGAGAATTTGCAGTTTTTAATCAGAGAAAACCAGGATCCCTGATGAGTAAGAAAATGAGAGAGAGAGAGCAGAATGTAGGCTGTCAGTCTGAGAGCTGCACACAGTTACACTAAGCACATAGACCAGAGCCTGGCTTTCACAGGCTCTCTGGCTCTGTGCTTACAATGAGAACTGTACTAATTCCCCACCTTCCCAGGAGATCTTCCCATCTCTAGGGTACTCTCTCTCCTTCAATCCAGGGAATAGGTGATACATTACCACAAGAGTGTTGGCCTGCTGTCACGGATCCTGGTTTGTGGTTGCACTCCCAGAGGGATTGCTAGGGAGTCTTGCTCTACCTGAGATGCACAGTCACCTCCAGTTGCTCTACAGACACTAAACACTCACAAAACACCCTTAATCTCATCTAGTCTCAGTCTCACTAGACCTAAGCAGTCTCTCTTCAGACGCAGGCTTCAAACTCACAAATCTCTCAACCTCAGAGACACAGATTCTCAGCACATACACCAGACTCACGCAAGGCACACAGACAGCAGAGCTCTGAGATTTTGAGCCCTTTTTAGCCCTCAAAATCAACCCAACCATGTCTCCAGGGCGCCTGCCATTCAAACACTCATACAACTGGTGCTTCCATCAATCTTCATGTTGAAACAAATTTATTACTTTTCACACTTCTGACCAGTCATCATTCAGTTTACATCGGGGAATAATGGTCACCACTTTTGGCACCAAAATCCCTGTTGCCGGGTCTCTACTGTGCATGCTAATATTATATGTATTCAGGGTCAGCCTGTCCTCAGAGGTAAAAGTTCACTGCAGAACCTTTACCTACAGGACTCAAGGTTTTAATGTTACATCATTATTGTCAGACTAGCTAGGCCAGGGATGTGGCAGCACTGTGCACGCTACACACTTGCTAGGTACTTTTCTGTAGGCACTTTTCTGTGTGTCAGCTGCAGTTGGAGCAGGAGGTTTTTCACTGCTGGGGATGTTTGGTGAATTTCCCAGTGCATTAGCTTTCCTGGGAGTGCAGGTCTGTCTAGACCACAGAATAATCAGACCTCTCCAAGTGCCTGAATTAGGTGGGTCTGGATAGGCCTCAAGCACTCAAAGTATGTATTCATATTACATGATTGTCACAAAGTGCAATGGCCAGTGATGGCAATAGGCTGCTGTTAACCTCTCTCTACTTTGCTTCAACCAGTGGCAGGACTTTGCTGTCTGCAGCCATTATCTTGTTTAAACTGTTTTGCTAAGGCTACAGTTTCTTGTCTGTGATCTGTATAAACGGCTGTCTAAGTGTTCCCTCCCCAAATTTATTTTAAGTAAGCATAATATACTTTTAACATAACATAATTAATACTGGTAACTAAAACATGACTTTCTGTGACCCACATTAAGGCCTGTTGAGTCAAATGCAGATGCAAGAATGCTGGTAAAGGAAAACAGCAGTGGGTAGTGAATTGTTTACCTCCTACTGCAGCTATTTCTCCCTCCCATCTTAAAGACCTTTGCAGTCTTTGCTTGTGAAGTTATTCATTTATATGTTTGTTTCTTCAGCCATTTAATTTCGCAGTAATGCTTCAGAGATTTATGCCCATAACTTGCATTAACTGGAATTATCTGACCTGTCCTCTATATTGTAGGGA